AGTCTTAGCTTATGTTGGTCATGCAAAGACATATAAAGAGGTGCCGTGAGGTGCGGTGAGGATTCACATACCTGGGGAAAGCCAGGGCTGGAGTGGAGATGGACTTCCCATCTCTTCTCAGTGGGGCAGAAAAAGAAGGAAGATAGATAGATGGATAGATAGATAGATAGATAGAAATAAATAAATAAATAAATGGAACAAAAAATGGTCTCTATGAGAACTACATGGTAGTAATAATTTCTCAACATCATAATTAATGCCATGCTGGGTGCAGTATCGCACGCCTGTTATCCCAGTGGCTTGGGAGGCTGAGGCAGGAGGATTGCAAGTTCAAAGCTAGCCTCAGCAAATAAAGCAAGGCACTAAGCCACTCAGTGAGATCCTGTCTCTAAATAAAATGCAAAATAGGGCTGGGGATGTGGTTCAGTAGTCAAGTGCCCCTGAGTTTAATCTCTGGTACAAAAAAAAAAAAAAGAATTAATGCCATGGAGAATGGTTAAAATGGCAAAGTTTGTGTTATATAATACCTAAAAATGATATAATATGCCCCAAATCATGAAGTGTGCATTTTAAATGGATGAATTGTATGGTATCTGAATTTATATCTCAAACTTTTTTTAAAAAATTGGTATCTACAGGCAAAATGTGTTGCTTTGTGCCTGCACACACCTCCTGGCAGGAGAGAGCTCCAGTTCCTTAGTTGATCTACTTTGGGTGGAAATTATCAGAGCTAGACAGGGCAGAGGAGAACTGTTACCTGTACGCCCATTACCAAAGGTGTCCCGGAGAAAGAAGCAAAGTATGATAAATGTTAAAATAATACCATAAAATTACAGGTTTAACATAATTCTGGAAGGGGAAGATTCTCTACTAGAAAGCCCATAACCAGTTCTACTTTCTAGATGCACTTTGTTGGCTCATGAAGTCCACTAGACAGAAGACCACGAGAAGCTCCTGCTGTCCCTTTGAAACACACATCTGTGCTTAGGACCACAGCACATCTGTTTTGGTTATACTTTGGTGTCAGTACACTAGAAGTACAGCACCAAGGTCAAGGGGGTGTGGTGTGGCAGAGGCAGTGGTAGGTGGGTCAAAGACCTGCCTTTTCACCTGGAGACTCACTTGCAGTGGTCACAGTCTAGGCTTCCTCGGCCATAAAATGCAAATGAGGATACCTCCCTTGTCCTCTCTTTGGAGTGGTGTGAGGAGCAAACTCCAAACAAGATCACTTGTGAAGTGTTCAGGAAACTGTGATTCACAGCCTCGGTGGGAGCTCTTCTGCATGCACATAATAGAAACTTCATCCAGTGAGAAAGGAGACTCAGATATCTTTCAGAAACTGTGGCAGGATCCAGAACAGGGTTCTGGAAAGCAGGGACCATACGCAGTTCACTCCTGGTGGCTTCTCTCTGCTCATCCCTCTGCTTTGATTTCTACCCCACTTCCCCTAGACTGGATTTTGTTGTTCTGCTTTGCAAGGCTCAGCATGGCTGCCCTATGGCCCCTGTGAATACATACCCACTGTTCAAACCACTTTTATGTTAGGTCCTCGTCCAGTTGGCTCAGCCCAGGCAGGTGGGCCCTCCTAGTCCAATGAGACATGAGCATAGGTAGGGGTCACGTAGGATAAACTCAGCCATCCCTTGTGCAGCCCTGGGGGTGTGAACTGGGCAGGTAGCAGGAGACATCCTTCCAGTTGTTATGGCAACATCTGGTAGTGAGATTGCAACGGTCAACTGGAGAGAGAGGTTGGGTTCTGAGGGCTTCCTTCCTAGTGTCCCCATCTGGCAGTCTTCCATGAGTTCTATTGGGTGAGCTCTGTGGAGACTGGCCGTGGCAATGTGAGCAAATGTGAGCTGGAGGGCCCCGAAGCTATCTTGCAGCCCCTCTGAAATGGGGAGCAATCTATTCTGCTTGTTTTGGGGGTCCATTTAGCATTTCTTATGAGTAAAGGTGGGTACAAGTCAGAGAAGCCAGTTTCAAGCCAGGGGAAACCAAACAGCAGTGATTCCAGGGCTGCTTTTCTGGTTCCCTCTGTCCTGGTCCTGCTGCCCTTTGAGCCACTGTACAAGGACCAGCTTTCCTCCCAGAGATGGCCTGGTGAGATCCGCACTGCTCTCCCCTATGAAAGTTCAGGACGCTGAACTAGCCACGGCTGCAGATCTCCCCCTTCCCTTTCCTGTATTTCTGCAGTTACCTATTTCTCTCTTGGCCTTCAGAGCTGTGGGAGGGTGAGCAGGTGTTGGGAGCAACTTTGTCCCTTTTAAGTCAACTTCATTATATGGAGAAGCTCCAGTTCTCTGTGTGCATCTGGCAGCTCCTCCAAGGCCAGAGCACTGGGCAGGCTTCCTGAGAGCCGTGCTGGCCTGTCCGAGGTCATGGGGGCTAGGCCAGGCCTGCTTGTCTCCCTTCCAAGAGCTACTTTTCCAGTGGATATACCAATAACTGGATGCCTCAGAGAGACTGCAATAGGGTCAGGGAGCCACTCTGTCAAATATCATGACCTACCTGAAGTTCAGCAGTCAGTTTGTGATTGGGCCCACTTTGCACAAGGGTGCAACCCGCTGTTCTTGCAATCATTAACTAGAGGGATGGTGCAGGTGGGGGAAGGGTGGGTCAACATTTAAGCAATGCCATCTGATGGGGGTGCTGAAAATGAACAAAGGTGTGAATTATTCCACAGCTGCTCACCCTGGCATTTATTGTGACTTTAAAATCTGCGAACATATGGTAACGGCTGGAAGCATGGAATAGCAGTTGGAAGCTCGTTGACTTAAGGAAAAAAAACAAAAAACAAAAAAAACCAGCCATGCTTATACTCCGCATTTGCCTCCCTGCAAAATGTGGTCATCCTGCCAGCCCTCTGTGCTCCCAAGTCTGGAGAAAGTCCAGGACAAAATGTCCCCCTTCGTTCAGTTCTCCCCTGTACATTTGTGCAAGAGTTTTCCCCTCTTGCAACAGAAGAGAGGATTCTCGTTCTGGGTATTTGCAAGCACCTTGGCCTTCTGCAGCTTTTGATGGATCTTGTTCAGAATGTACTTTTTGGTTTTGACTGATGGAGACGTTGGGGTGATGTTTTGTTTGGGATCCATCGTGGTCCTGGGGAATTCAAGCTGATGGCTGCTTCTCTTGACAATAGAGGGAGACCTGCTGTGTGGCCAGGCAATGCCCAGGTCCCCCTCTCTGGTCATCCAGCAAACCCCACTTCTTATCCATCTTCTCTGTAAACTTTGGGATCATCCTGGTGGCGATGACCACTCTTCTCTATGCTGGGACTGACTTCTGCCTCACCCACTTTCCACATTACATGTTTTGTCTTTCCTAAGTTGTAAGATCCTGAAAGTTCAGACCCCGCTTTTCTCCATTTGTCCCCTGACGCACTCAGTGGTCCCTGAGGGATGCAAAGGAGACATGGGATGTCTTTTCCAAACTGCTTCTGTGGTGGGGGAGAGCCCGTGGCCCCTGACTGCCTGCTCAGCCAACACGATCGTTCAACTTTGCGTCTGCTGTGGAGCACAATGTCTTCAAGCAAAGACAGAGGCCATGATTCTCAAGCGGGTTCCCTGGTTCCTGAGCCCTCTTCTTTCCTACCCAAGTTGACTTGGGATCAAGGGGTGCTCCTAGCACAGAGGCCAGCTTCACTCCTCTCAGAGCTGGTTGCATGAGAAAACAGAGCTTCCCCCAGATGCTCGTTCTCTCACACAGCAAGTTCTCCCAGAAGGACCAGTTCAGGCAGTAACTTCTTGTCTGAACATGTCTCTCTAGAAAGCCCCTTGCAGAGAGAGCTAATTTCTTATCCTATATCCACCCATGCCTTCTTAGTAACAGAACCAAAATGTTAGTCTAGTTAGCATTAACTCAGTGAAATGATTCTGTTTCCTGGAGCTTTTTGCAAAAGTGGAGTTATTGGCTGGGATTTCTAGAAAAGCCCTTCTATTTTTTTTTTAACTTCCTATAGTGTGTGGGATGATGATATGATGGTTGGCACTGCAACAGATATACTGAGGCTATGAAGAAAAGACCAAAAAAATCACAAAGACTCAGCCCTAATTTTCTTGAGCTATTAAATCAATGCCAGTAATTCCCCAAGTCTGCGTTTCTCATGACATGATAAAAATAAGCCTTTATATGTTTAAGTAACTATAGTTAGCTCTGTTTAGAGACAGCATGGATCTATCGTGGTCTCTGAAAGCAATTCCTAACTGATACCCTGCATTAAGGAGAGAGTAATTGGATGATCACTCAAAGGCCTTCGTAACAGAACTAGGCTTTCAGGAAGCCAGAGTTCTCAGAAATTCCTTCCTTGCTGACAAGCCCTCAGGCCCATCTTCTCTGAGTTTAGTGAGATTCTTTTTGGTGTTCCCAAATTTATCTTCTCCAGTGAAAGTGAAACACGAGAGCCACTGGGCTCCCTCCCCAGAAGCAGTTTGGAAAAGCAAATCATCATCTCCCTTCGACACCTGGTCACCTGCAGAAGCGCTGCTGAGACCAGGCCAAGCGCTACAAGTTCAAGTTCTCCAACATCTGTCAGCTGAGCTGTGACTTTCTTTCTTTTTTTTTTTTTTTTATAACTTTTTATTCTGTTATTTATTTTTATGTGGTGCTGAGGATGGAACCCAGTGCCTCACATGTGCTAGGTGAGCACTCTCCCACTGAGCCACAAACCCAGCCCCTACATGCTTTTTTTTAAGTACAAGTAAAACAGAGTATTTAAATGATTCAAATTTGGTTCCTTAAGCATTCTGTTGGGCTCCTTTACCTTGGTCCACAGCTGCCAGCAATCCAAAGCTTTATCCTATACAGACATTTTCAAATTTTTAGCCAATCTGTGCATTGTCTTCGTTTCAGACTGTGCTGAAGTCACACTGCAGAGATTTTACAGAGGCAGCCACTATTGTGTCCTTGTACAAAAGCTTTCTCTGAGGTTCGGGCCCCTTTAAAAGGCCTATACCTTTTGGTAGCCAGGCCCTCATCTCAGGCAGCCAGTTTGTTTTGCCTTTTTGCAGGGCTGGGGATTGAACCCAGGGCCTTGTGTGTGCTAGACAGACACCCTGCCACTGAGCCACACTGCACCCTGCAGTGGGGGGCAGTTTGATGCATAATGATGCTGGGGCACTGGGGGCACAGCATTGATGAGGATGGCCAACCCCGGCCTTCTTGCTCCTGTACACCTGGGTGGGGTAAGAAGCCCGTCAGTGGTGAGTGGATTTTGGAGAAGCTGCACTCCATCCTGAAAAGCCACCATCCCACTTTGTGAGCCCTTTCATGCCTGCAATGCTGCCCAGGACCTGAAACTCTTAAATCCCCCTCTACCTGCCTCCCTTCTTGGGTCACCCTGCCCCCAGCTTCCTGCTGACTTCTGTAAGGAATGTACTAAGGCAGTCATAGCATGTCAGCACTAGAAGGGGCTTCAGAGACGGCCTCACTGCAATTTCTAATTTGACACATGGGTAAACTGAAGTTCATGGCAGACCGGAGACTTGCCTCAGGATATCACTAGATAGCAGCCTTCCCTTGAGTCTTTATTTATTTATTTTTTTGGTACTGGGCATTGAACTCAGAGGCACTTGACCACTGACTGAGCCACATCCTCAGAGGCACTTGACCACTGACTGAGTCCTATTTTGCCTATTTTGTATTTTATTTAGAGACAGGGTCTCACTGAATTGCTTAGCGCCTTGCTTTTGCTGAGTGAGGCTGGGTTTGAACTTGTGATCCTCCTACCTCAGCCTCCCAAGCTGCTGGGATTACAGGTGTGCACCACTGTGACTGGCTTCCCTTGAGTCTTGACCCTAGACCAGAATGTTTGGCACAGTAATAGATTCAAGATTATTCTTCCATAGCTTTTTCTATATGTAAGACTCCATTTGGAGGAATCTATCGAATCTTTTTTTTCCTTTTTTTTTTGTTATTAAAAAGTTTAATATGAAAATGTTCATTGCCCAATTTTTATGTCATAGTTAAACAGGCCCTTTGGAGAGGAAACATGAATTTCTCTGCTGAGCAGTCATTATTTATATTTGTCCCAAGGTTTCTAACATGAGGATACTTTTCCTTGTGTTACCAACTTCCAGTATTGTTCTGTTGTCCGCTAGTTGCCATCTCCACACATTCATCTATCACAAGATTCATTAAGGGGTCAAATCTCTGCGATATTCCTTGGATGTGTCTGCCACCACTTAATTTCGCTGTAAAGTCCAATGCTTTTAATCCCCATGTTCTTCAAGTACAGTGGGATTAGGTTTTTAATTAGGTTGAACAAACCTGTTTTTCATAACTTCTTGTCCATAAATTTTTTCACCTCAGGAGGATGAGCTTTGCTCATCTTGTCTACTTGGCAGGTTCAGAGATGCTTTGGAATCTATCTGATCTTATTCACTGTATGCATGAGGAACGTAAAGCCCAGAGAGGTTAAGTAACTTGTCCAAGATCACAAGTAGTAAGTGGCAGAATTGGGATTTGAGCCTGGTTTCATTCCTGACTTATATGCTAATGCTCTTCCATTGACTATTCACTTCTGTCTAGATGACAGATCTCTAGTGAACTCCTTGGTCAGAGGGATTCTGGCTTAATCTCTTACCTCTGGAAGAGCACTTGCCTAAATATGTTAATAATAGGAGCTAAATTAACCAATCCAAAACAGAACAAAAATAAATGTCATCATTCAATAAATATCGTTTTAAACCAAATTAAGCAGTTTTTTAAAAGCTAATTTTCTGCACATATTCTTTTCAGCACCTTTAATGCTGATAGACATTGTGAATTCTCTGAGAGTTAAAAAGCACTTCCCAATCTTTCCAGACCATAGAACCCTTTTTTGATGCAATGTTGTCATCATACTGTAACCTCAGGAAAACTAAATTGGGTGAAAAAGGCAACATGTATTTCATTATTATGAAAGTAGTTTTGATCTCGAGGATCCCCTGTAATGGGCTTCACCATCAGCAGGGTTCCCTGGATCACCCTTTGAGAACTGCTGTCCTCAAAAGTAATATTGTCAAAGTCAGATCTGAAGCTCATTGGCATGGGGCTACATATATTCTTGCCTGCTACACAGAACAAAGGAGAGCAGCAGATGGAAGAATAATTCTAAATATGGAAGAAAAATTCTAAATATGTTTTTAGAATCAGTTCTATGGGTTCCTTTTATCCCCCTTTCTTCTCTTCCCTCTTTTCTTTTCCTTTAAAAAAATCCCTTGTTGTTCCCTACAGGATTTAGGGTAGCTTAATCTGCCAGTAAGCCTATATTCCTGTTGACAGAGACGTATTTAAGCTTAAGTAAATGATATTATTGGGGGGGTTATTCCTGACCTTGCACATCCTGAAAATTCTCCCCTAATAGCATCCTAGAGGTTAACCTAAAACTTCTATTATTAGCATTTTGTTTATTTGACTAAGGCAGCTTTTTGAGAAAGCTGCTTGGGTTTAGACACAATGTCAACTTGGGGAGAGGTGTGAACACCTTTGGCTCCTCCCACCTCAGCCGGAGAATGAGCCCCTCGGATTAGGGGACCCATCCAGGGAGGGATTCCTGAGGAACAGAGACTCAGGATGGGGAAGTACTGCAGGACCCTAGAATGTGAGGTGCCCTGGTGGGAAGTAACCACTCTTACCTTGGCTCTTTTTTTTTTTTTTTCCTTTAGCAAAATGTCCAAAATACATTTCATTTATATAACAGTTTTATTTAGGGCCTGGCCCTTGATCCAAGGTCCTTGTGTGTTTATACTGGACCAGAGGTCTTTGAACCTGACCTCAAACCTCAGGTCAAGGCCAATGAAGCCTTTGCAGTACTGTTCTCGAATTTAACAATCCAGGCCAGATGGGAAAAATGAAATCTACTTTAGGTGAGGTGATCCCGGGTACTGACCAGCAACGTGTTCCAGTTGTCCTTTGCTCACAAGGCAGGTGAGTGGCACAAGGATGTGTCTTCCAGCACAATCTAGGTCAGGGGCAGAATCATAGACTGGGGGTCTGTGGGTGCTCTCTCCCTGGAGAACATGATAACTTCCATCCTTTCTTTTCCGTTCTCTCAGGCTCTGGGGCTCTGGCTCCCTGTATTTGGGAACTGAGAGGGCATGATCATCAGGCAAGGCCACACAGAATGGCCCACCTCTCCAGACTTGCTGTGTGCGCCAGCTGTGTCTCCAGCTGTTAGCGTCCCGTAAGGTTGCTAAACCCCTTGTCAAGGCTAACCCATCCACCCAAGTGTTTAACAAACGACAAAACAGGTTCATTAGGGGCTTTACACATACATTCTAATTTGAGGAAATTTAGAAAATACAAGAAGGAAAATGGGAATGTCATCTTATTACCAGAAACTCCTCCATGCATTTGGGGGAACATCTTCCTGCCCTTCCTGGCTCTCTGGGGCTCTCAATTTGCAGCTGGAAAGGATTCCCCTGAGGTCTAAGCATGGGCACCCCCACCCTGGGCAGTGACTGGCAGTTAATGTCATGGGGGAAGAGCCTGTTTCTGTTTGGATTCTTGGACCTGGAGGGTGAATGGAGAGGAGAATGTGGAACCGCCCTCTCTCTGCCTCAGGGATGGGTCTGACCTGGCAGAGAGAGAAGCATGCTTCCTTCCTTGTTCTGGGCAGAATTCAGTGGGGCTTCCTCAGAGCGAGGACTTCAGGTATGGCTGCTCAGCTCTGCTGAGTGAAGGAAGGGAGGATGTCCTCCTTCAGTAATGTATTGCAACTGCTCTTTCCTCTCTTGGCAGGTCCCTGTCATGGAGAGGGGTCCCAGGCAGGGAGTTGACAGGAGGTAGTGTGCTCTTGGTCAGGGGCACCAGTGACGGCTCCTAGGGACCCTTCCAGTGTCTGCCATTGATGCTGTTTTGGTTTTCCTTTTAGATTTCCTCATTCAAAGTCTATATTTAGTCTTTTCAGCACTCGAACACGCACAGTGGTTAAATATGAACTCTAAAACGTCATAAGCCAGCAGCCTACTATTCCATTTAAAATGTGTGGAGAAATGTAGCGAGCACTCACTGGCTCTGATGAATCACCTTGGTTTCTCAGCATCTCACCATCTCTCTTAATTCTCCAAATGGCACAGGGAAGCAGCTGGGGAAAGTCGGGCTCCTCGGAGGCCCAGCCTGGCCAGCTAGAGGATGCTCTCTCTGCTGGCTGGGCCTGTCCGCAGGCAGTTCGGCTGGCTTTCTGTTTATTTTGCACTTAGCACTAGAAGGAGACTCTTGGGGATATTTTTGCATGGGGGATCCAGAGTTTATATCTCAGAACTTTCCCTCTTCAGAGCACAGGGTTCTGTAAGGAGGGTTTGCAAACAGTAGCTCTCTGTGCTATGTATTCTTGGTGATAAGCCTTGGTAATTGTATGATCCACAAATGTAAACCTCCCAATATTCAGCCCCCTGTTCCTCCACTTGCCCTTCTCCAGTAATCTGGACCTGTACAGTGTTTTGGCTCCTGACCTCCATGGAATGCCCTTGACTTTGATATTAACAACAATTGTGCTCCCTTCACAGTCTGAATTTGAAATGTCCCACTCCCCATCACAATTTTTTCCTTCCAGCTCAGTCATCGGTCTCCAATGATTCTTTGACTTTCTTTGGACCCACAACCAAAGATCCTGCCACCAATGTTCCTGACTACATCTGTAGGTCCTCACTGCCCTCTGTACCATCGAGATGCTGTGGTCAGGTCCATCAGCATTATCCCATTCATCAGCACACCCACTTCACGACACCTGCCTGGGAAGACCACACCCCTGGATGAGCTCTGCTCTGCCCACCATGTCTGCACCTGTCCCCTTTGCAGCTGCTGGTCCTTACTTAAGTTCAGTTTCACCCACCTGTAGGTGGGTCCCTGGTACTTGCCTGGCTCTCTTATTTTGTCTCCCTATACCACTTATTCTGCCGTTCTTCAAAACAATGCTTTCACATTTTCTCTTCCTTCCTCAAGCACTCTGTTCTTTTTACCCCCTCCTTCTCCACCACAAGACTGATGCTTCCAAACTCACTGAGGTAATAGAACAATCAGCTGACAGATTCTCCATGTCTCCTCCACCAGGCCCTAGATCTGTGCCCACCTACTTTGCCTTCCTTCCTAATAT